GGGGCAAAGAAAGGAAAGTGTTGAGAAGAAGTTTTCAGTCATGTTCATGACCCTGCAAAATGTTGCAACTTCATGTTTATTACCAAAATCTACCTTTAATCCTATATGTGTAATCCATCGTATGACACGTTCATTGGACCATACCAATACATCTATCAGGTCATTCTCTGAAGCTTTCCGCCTTTCTTCTAGTTGCTTACGATCATAGTTGAGCCTTTTTAGACATGAAATGCCATATTGTAGGCTTGTCCTGCAAAAATATATACAGTATTGTCAAATAAATTTGTTTCTTGCATAATTCTAGCACCTACAATCTCCTAAACAAGACTGATCCAAAGTGTTGGGGAATGTAACAATATGTCCCTGCAAAATTAGCACGATGATGACATCTGCAGCCTGACTGCTGATATTCCCGCACATCTTTTAACAGTCTCTTTTCTGTATTTTGAACCTATTATCATGCTCACTTTCTTGCCTTTGTTGCTTTACTTTACATCTACCCTGTGCTGATCTGTCTGGTTTGCGTATCAATACCAGTACAGCCCTCGGTTTCTTCAGATTTATCAAGTGTGGAGGTGGTAGCCTGTCTTTTTTCTTGCTAAGTGATTTTTCATGATCAATCATATTTTCATGTAATCTTAAACAGTGATTATTGCACCTGCAATCTATTTACTAATTTGTGGTTTAATGACATATAGCATTATGGAAACATACTGCACCTCCAAAAGGCTACTGTAGTCGCCTTTATATGCTCATTAATTAAACTGCCTAACTGTTAAGTAGATATATGTGGTAACTACCTTATATTCACATTCCATCCTTCTATTTTTTTGAATGTATGTTTATATGAATTGAAAGTCTTGAATCATTCTTAATACTTCTTATGAGTTGTTTATATCTTGTGTGTTTTGTCTAGTAAATTTCATACAGTATTATTGATTTTAAAGGTGATTTTTCTATTTGTGGTGTTTAACAGTTTTGTTTTGCTTCTAACATAATTTCCATAGCATGTAAAAGTTATCTATTTTTGTTTTTCTGCATTTACTCTACCATTAAAATGTAATAGTTTTAAGACATAACAAGCAAGTAAAACTTTTAACAACATTTTCCAAAGTGAAAGTACAGCCACCAGCCATTGTATGGGGACTTCAATTCCTTATTTCCATACGAAAAATGTTAAAATTGACTATTTGGACAAAGGTTCTACTTTACTTCAAGTCTTCTGAGACCAAATAATTCTGGTCCTTATAACACGAAGTTCTCTATGGTAAATGTCACATGAAATTACTAATACCAGTTCATATCTTACCATGATATCTCATTTTAAGTTCATATTACCTATGGAAACTATCAACCATTTTGAGCTGTCCTCGCAAATCCTTCTTGTTGAGATGATCCAACATTCTAGCATCTACCAAACATTCCATAAAGGTGGTTCTGTATTGAGGTAAGCCAAGTGATGGTAGCCACGCATTGCCAATCCATTCATGGTTCATATCCCCAAATGCTAATGTGGTGCGTGAGGTTTTAGGTGCTGAAGGACTTGTCAGGGAGACCATCTCCTGGATTGCTAATCGTAGCTTCAAACGATGCAGTGGATTGCTGCAATCATAAAGAGTACACTTAATTTTCATCCATAATTAAGTTCACATATTTATATAACAAAGGGCAAAAGATGACTGAAGACAGCAGAGATGAAATTCATTAGGATATAGTTTGGTTTACCACAAGAAAAATAAAGATATTTTAGATGAACATGGTCCCACAATATAAACAAAACTGGTTACACCATGTTTGAAGGATGAAAAACATAAGACACCCATGACAAATTCCTGACTACCAACATATTGGAAAACAAAGACCTGGACAACCATTCAAGACACTGCTAGACAATTATAATCTAGAGATCAAAACATATCATTCACTGTTCTAACTTTGAGACCACACTAAAAGATGACGAAGAAGAGGATGATGTTCATACACTAATTAATGATCAATTTTATCTATAAGTTAGGAACAAGACAAATCATTTCTTACCTAATACCAATTTCCCTCTGGATTTCTGTATCACTGAGGGCACTCATGATGGCCCCCGACTTGACATTGGCGCGACACGCTGCTACATACCAGGCAGGCATCCCCACCCACAGCTCTAGCCAAGCCACTATGGTAGGTCCATTCCACAAAGCAAATGGAGTCCCTGCTTTCATTGCTTCTGCTAGAAGTTCATGTCTGAAATCAAAGAACACAAAATCTAATTTCAGAAATTATCCCATTTACTCAAAACTCCTATACACTTTTGATGTAAACATATATATCCTGCAGGCATCAGCTATTTATTTTAAAAGGAAGTTACGTGAAAATAAATAACAGTAATCAGGATTTAATGTTTTCACATAGGTGAGAATGAAGATGGCTGTCTTCTGGGTTGTAGTGCTGTGTAGTCTAGTATAAGTTTACCAGACTACAGTCAAAGGTCCTTGCTGCCTCCATCATCAGGGTGATGAGTGACTCATCATCCTGACGATGCTGTGGGGATGCCACATTTTCATACAGCTCCATCACTAATACAAAAACAAACGTTCTTGATAAATATGAAAACTCCTATGGCATTCTGAAAGGTGTTTGAAAAGTTTCAAGAGGTGTGCACCGGGTACTGGTTGGGAAGAGACTGCTGGGGAGACCTAGACGTAGATGGGAGGATAATCTCAGGTGGGATCTATGGGAGACAGGAGCTGAAGGAGACTGGATTTTGTTGGCCCACGACAGGGTCTAGTGGAGAGCTTTGGTTAATTCGGTGATGAACCTTCGGGTTTGGTAAGCTATCTAGTTGGTTAGATAGTTGGAAAAGTTTCTGTCCACTCTAATTTCAGGAAATAAGGGGTTCAAGAGGTCATTAAATTTTCCCAGCATGTCGTATTATCATTACTGAAGCATGGAAAATGTAATAACTGTAACATTGAAATGCCTGCACGGGTTTAACAATAATGTATTAAGGATTTGAAAACTGTGGTGCACAAGGAATATTTTTTTGGTACAAAAAGCTATGATAAAAATGCTGTCTGTTGTTGTAATACTATTTTCATCTGTCAAATGAAGAATTTTAATGAAGAGAAAGTTTAATTTGAACGGGAATTTAAGAATATGGCTACTGGCTGCATTTGAGATAAGTTGATTTTGTCCATTGGTGAGCAGAAATTCACAGCATTCATATATACGGATGGACTTTGTTTCAGTTCTTGCCATATTCTTAAAATAAATGTTAATATGTTGACAGAGAATCTCCAGCTTCTTTCATATCAACCATACGGACTGTAGCAAATTGCATACAAGAATGTTTACTGCTTACTTTTTCTTCTTTCTCCTGTCAAAGTCTCCCTTCTGACCAAGCCCTCCACTGAGACTGAGTGTATCAGCACCGCTCATATCAGCATCACCATATGATGAGGTAAAGGTCATAACAGCTGAGTCTCCAGATGTTACACCCATCATTGATGGCTCTTTCGATTTGCCCTATACAATAAACGAGTAAAACAACAATAAGCACCATTAGAAAGTAAATAATATAGAAGACAGGGCAGGAGTGAAAGATTCTCATTTTGTAAGACTATAATTACATGAGTACACTAAATTAGTTTAGCAATATTATGATATCCCAAAGATGAAATATTTAATGTTAAACATGTCACCAAAAATTTCAGAAACTAATATTTGAACTCATATGAAAGACTGGTACAAGTATGTAATTTCAGAAATAAAAGATCTAATTGAACAAGTACAGTGTTTATAAAACCTTAAGTGGAACATGGTACATCTTGAGAAGTTGGTATTCACTCAGCTGGCCAAGAAATTCCTGATCTACTGTCATGTTCACAAGAACCTGACACTGTACCCTATCTTGAGCCACATGAATTCAGTCCACACCCTAACAACCTAGTTCTCCAAGCTATTTTTAATATCATCTTCCCACACCTCATAAATGATCCCTTTTATTCAGGTTTTCTGACAAATCACAACAGAAATTGTCTACAGGCTTACAATGTGAGCAACATATCTACAAAGGACAACCAGAAATTATACAACACAGTACTGACAACTTAAAATGGTGTGTAACTGAACCAAAGTTCTATAGCCAACCACTAGAAGCCTGAGAGGAGTAGATAAAAATGGACAAAGCAACAGATATACATGACAGGAGAAATTACATAATATTCCTAATTCCTATTCATAAACACCTGCTCAATCTCATATTCATTACCAGTTTCTACTCTGCACAAAGGTGGCAGGTCAAAACGTTCATCCAATACAAGATATTGTTGCAACTCACAAGACTACATATGACAATAAATATTGATAACCTACCTTCTCCTTCTTGCTAAAGAATCTACCCAGCTGTGACTTGATGCCCTTTTTCTTCTGTGCAGCAGCAGCAGCAGCGGCGGCAGCAGCTGCAGCTGAAGTACCAGCTGTTGTGGGGGCAGTAGTACTGGCAGCATTCTTGTGCAATGAATCTTGACTGCTGTGGCGAGAAGACAGAGGAGAGGGAGGTGTGGAGTAATCTCCAGGCCTGTACCAACATACACACACAACACTAACTAATTTCTAATCTACGCCACACCATATGCACCCCGAGCAGTAACAAACATGGGCACAACAATGCGAGGAGAAGCGCACGATGGGACACGTTTGTTATGTCACCATCAGAAGGCATTTTATGAGAAGCTGGTTAAATGCAATTAACTGGATATGTTTTCTTGGTTGAGAGCTGATTGATTCTTTAGTCTTGCATCATTTTTATATGAAACAAGGAAATTAACGAAAATGTTATGATGGCTACAAGTTATATTGTATGAACTTGAAATCAAGACTGGAGAATTTCTTTGATCTAAGCCAAACATTTGGAGTACCTTCACTGTTAATCCAAGTTCCGTTCCATTAATACTTCTTTAGAACCGCATGTAAAATATGTAAATAAACACTTCTTGGTTGAGGAAATTCTTGATGATAATGACATAAAAGGCAAAAAATAAAACAAAGCAAGATAAATTAATTAATTTCACCCATTATAGTTTTGTCCTCCAAAACTCCCACATGGATTGGCTGGGTCTTGAACTAGGATTTACATGGTAAAAGTTTGTTTGTATGCTAGACACAAGATCAACTATAGTCTTTATAAATGAATAAATTGTACTGCTAATAATTGACTAATAATTTTACATAAAACAAATTATGAACAAGAATTTTATGTGTAATATATCACTGATGTGAAGCGACTGTTAGAATAGTCAGCCATAAGATCTGGTAGGTGAACTCCCACACCCAAGTGTCACTGTTAGCAATACTTCAAAAGTTATGAAACAAAGTAACAAAAGTAACAAACATCTCATTGTTCCTGATGCTGACATAACAAACTATGTCATAGGTTTATAGTGCAAAAACAGAAAACAGCTGCCAATGTGACATCTTCAAGAGACTCCTAGCAGCAAACAAAAACTGTTACATCCCGTGGAGTAGAACAATGATTATTCAACATAACAATTTTAAATTATATGTTCTGTACCACAAAATAAACAGAACACTTCACCATGACAAAGATCAACAGGTTCATGCTGCTTACAGCCAGAATCGTACAAAATATGTAAATACAAAATGAAGATTTACTGATTGTTGAAGAAGGTGGAACATATAGTTACCACTTTGCTTTAAAAAGTATGATAATGGGATGGCCTCCAATAGCACAACAACCAAGCAAAATTCCATCAAAATCCATTCAGCAGTTCTCAAGTTCACACATGTGGACAGTGTTCACCTTGTATAAAACATGCAAAGCGTGCAGAATATGGAGACTACAGCTTAATTAATGTTCATCATAATTCTGAGGCACTTTCCCAACAAAGAAAAAATTAGTTTTGCCACATCTGGATGTCTGTCTGTACGTAATAACAATGCATATAAGAATTGCTGAATGGATTTTCATAAAATTCAATACTGGGACTTTTAATAAAATCTGCTAAATTCATTAAATTTTATAGTAGGTAGTTTTGCCAAAATTTGTCAACATATTACAATTATAGTTGAAATCAGACAATAATAACAGACATATTAACATGAAGATCTACAAACGCTTTTGTGCATATATTGAGCATAAGTTACTAAATATTTACTGGAGGTCACCCTCTTTCAGAATTTGCAGCAAAATGACCTGTCATCTTCCTTGCAATTCTAAAAACAGCATTTTTTAACTGAATACAGGCCTAAATTTGCATTTTAACACTTCTGCACGATATTGTATTATATTATAGTGAGTCTGCACAATATCTAATATTTCTATTCAATCACATTTCTATAGATTTTTTCTCTTGCCTAGCTCAAAGCCATCAGTGAAAGGAGCAGAATATGGTTATGCCCCTCTATTGCCACATACAATTAACTAAACAATCATCTCAATGATTACTGTGTTATCTTCACACTTTCATGAAAAATTTGACTGATGGGTGCAAAATTTTACATAAACCTCTGTATGCCAGCATTTTAAATATTATAAAAACATAAGTTAGGAACAAGCCACATGGCCTAAACCCTAAAGAGTTCATGATGATGATGAAAGATATAAGTACATATTTGCTTGTGTACAGATACTCTTTCTGTATGTTAAGAACTAATTCAGTGAATAATCAGTGTTCCACTACATAAGATGAGTATACAAAATAATACAGATATAAAGTAATGCGTTAGAAAGAAGTCTATGAAGTGGGAATGAAAACTGCAATAAAAAGTTCCTTCTAATTCAGCAGCAGTGGTCGCTAGGGAGTGAATTCTACTCCAGACTCTAAAGTTGGTAATGTCAATTAATTAATCAATGTTATACAGTCACATTTATATTGAGTTCTAGAAAAAAAAACTCTTGGTAGGCTTAAGTAGAAGAACTATATATTCAATGAAACTTGGGTGGCAAACTGCAGAACTTCTGTCACCAAACACATTTCTTGTAACTTCTGAAGCATAGTGGATTTCTTGTTTCTTTAAAAACCTTACTTTTTTGTTTAGTATGACATACTTAATTCTGAAATAAGTTATTATACAATAATTCTCTCCTGAGCCAACTTAGGTAGTGTACAGCATATACAAGTAACCAGTATGAAAACATTAACCTAGCAGGGATGCAGACTGCAATCATCACGTTCACTAGCGTAACTTGGAACCGCAACATATGAAAAAGTGGGACTTTATACTTCACTACATAACAGAAGATATCAAAGTAAGGTCCATTCCTTTTGAAAGGTTAACCTAACAGATATAAATTAATGAGATGCTCTAAATTCAAAGTTCATTTGAATTGAAGATATCCGTCTTCTGGGTTATTGCGCTGTGTAGTCTGGTCGATGTTAACCAACGTTTCAGAGGTCATACTGCCTCCGTCATCAGGGCGATGACGGAGGCAGTATGACCTCTGAAACGTTGGTTAACATCGACCAGACTACACAGCGCAATAACCCAGAAGACGGAAATCTTCATACTCTGATGACGGAGGCAGTATGACCTCTGAAACGTTGGTTAACATCGACCAGACTACACAGCGCAATAACCCAGAAGACGGATATCTTCATACTCACCGCTGTGAGAACCTCAAGTCTTCATTTGAATTATTACGTTGTTTTACAAAAGTGAATATGTCTTACACAGTCACTGTGTTGTGAGTAAGGAGTGACCAAGGAAAGATAGGTACAGACATAAAAAAGAAATTTTGAAAGTCCATAGAAAGCAGATCAACCAGAAAGTCAGAAATCTGATAAGCACAAGAATGATGACATAGAAACAAACCTATTATAGTAGTAGTAATGATATAGATGGAACCTTACAAAATGAACAAAAAACATTTACAAACACACATACATGCATACCTGCACACTCACACACACATTATTAGAATCATAAAACTGATCTCCTTATGGAAGCAAATGAAATTTTTTAAATTATCAGGTGTGGCTTACAGATCACAACTCCGACTTTGCAAGACATTTCAATTCAAACGTGTAGTGGCTAACTGTAAAGTAGTGGGACCCCAGAACCAAAAACAGAGTAGAATGTACACCAATGAGCTCTTTCAACTAAAATAAAGTGCTTGTATTGCAAAAGGAATTCAGATATGGGTTATTTAATACAGAATTTCTTGGTGAGTGATCAAACACATATTAGGCACATTGCACCTTTTAAATGACAGAGTTTCTGAATACAATGAATTGGTCTCTAACTTTCAGCAGTTATCTACTTTAATTCTTACAGAACTTATAACAACATAAAAACAGATGAATAAAATTTTCCATCAAGTTTATGAATGTTTTCAAGGCTGTCATGCAAATATGGTCATTCCACTGTAACTCGCTCAGCATGTCAATATCCCATGTATGAAAAGTTAATTAATTATGGATTAATTTCATGGTGAAAAGGGCAGAGGTTTTGGGTCAGATACATGGCCTATGTAATAAGTTTTCACTGAAATGAACAACCACATGTTCATAAAAAATCTGCCAGCAGAGCAAAGTATTTCAGTTTCTTTAGAATGTTCAGTCTGCTACGGCCATCTCATAACTCTGCTTCCACCACATTCTTCAAAAGCAGTAAATCTTTTTTAGTGTTAAAAAGAAGCATGAGCTTAAACTAAATTACATCTACACCAGATCTAGGAGAAATTTCCTGTGTACCCATGTATATAATACTTTGCTGTGAAATGACCACAGGCATTAAAGAAAGAAAGAAGCATAAATAATCAGCATGTTCTTTCATAAAATGCCATGAAAGTGTTACTACTAAAGCTACACCACTGCTTCTGTGAGAAGTCTTGCAAACAAAAGTTTTGTATCTGTGGCAACAGACTAAGCTTATAGCTGTCATGAAATATGAATAATTTTCATACGGAAGCTACAATAAACCAATCACATATACACTTTAAATTAACCTTAAAGCATAAGGACAAAAATTACTTCATACTGTAACAGCAAATATGCACTACAAAATGGAAGCCACAAATTTTCTATCTGTGGACTAAATTGCCTAGAGCACTAAAAAGAGGTGGGAAGAAAGATAATGACAATGATAATGCAATCACTCATATGCTAGAGGGAGAAAAGAAACTTCTTGTGTGGTGATACATGCAGATCAGAGGTCAGCTTAATGATGTTATATCAGCCCTTCACTAAACATCATGTTATACAGAATGTATATTATGATACAAAGAACTGTGTTAGAACAGCACAAAATATCCTTCTGATGTGCTGTTTGAATGTTACTTAAGCTGTGGATTCATCTTGCTATAAATTGCTTCAATCAAAGGCTTTCTATAACAGGAACAAACTTTCCTGTAACACTTAGCAGTAAGAAAACATTTATTTAAGCAATTCTATAATCCCCAAAATTTAAAAATGGCAATAAAACCATCAAGGCTGAAAAACATTATTGTGTATTATCATCATCTGTACCATACTCCTTCTATTTAGAGGACAGCCCAGACTTGGCTGTGAATTAAACACCATTAAGCACATCACCCCCACATAAATAAGTTGTGAAATAGAATTTATAGGTGTAAGAAATTTAACCTGAGCGTGAGGCCGGTGGGAGGCAGCGTGGCCGGAGAGCCCGCTCGCCTGCACAGTGGAAAAACAAACATATATACATGGTAGATCAGTAACAGATTTTCTGCATACAGGTACTACCCGTTGCTAGGATAGATTGGTTTCGATTACAGATTGTACGTTTCAAATACAGTTAAGCTTTTCCATTATAATAGATACTGAACTGAAACAGACAATGTGAAACACATATTCTATATCATAATTTTATATGATTTAAGTTTACATTTGGTCAAACTATGGATTATATCTTCAGAGTTGTAATGCCATATAGCCATATTGATTACTAACCAATCTTCAGGGTAAGATGGTAATACATTCCTCTGAAACAATGGCAACTACCTACCATCTGCTTTTCTTCTCTTGGTACTTTGCTAAGATCAACACTGTAACACTGTGGCGTTTCCTATGTTCTCAAGTTCAAATAAAGATATTAAAACCGTTTTAGTGTAAAGATTTGTTCCTGCAATCATAAGTACATAAATCTTCTACACACAATACTAAAAATGGCAAGTAAAACTGTTAACTAGTATATCTTTCCAGTACAGGGCACATAATCTAATCTGTGTAAAGATCATACTGAAACCTGTACGACAAGTATCTTGTAAATCAACAGTGCACATAAGTAATGGAATACTTCTGACGATAATTTTTCACAGTTCAATCTAGGGCATGTTTCAAAGCATGCCATACTGTATTTCCAATAAACAGTTAATGAATGTAAAAAAGTCACAATGAAAGTAATGGAGTTGTTCATTAAAAGGTGCAAGAAACAGCAGAGAGCTGAACCCAAATAAGTATGCCTAAAGATGCTGGACATTTTCCAATTAGCAGGTGACAGGAACTCCTTTCATAGTATCCAAATTGTAAACAAATTTCTGAAAAACTATAATATACACATGGGATGCCACTGTTTTCATAGTTCTGTTATGAGCTATGTTCCATAGAAGGCTGAGAATTGCTAGTTCAGATAGAATAATCAGTCCTGCTACCAAAAATTGTCAAACAAGAAAGACATTATCTGTATCTCTGTATGTCAAGGACCCAGACAGGATATATATTAATTTGCTGCACCCTTCACCTTCCACATTAAAAAGCAGTAAATTGAAAGTTCATAATGTATATAAACTATGCTAGCCACTCAGTCTACTTTCTATGTGAGAAATTACACCACAGTAACTAATTTGAAACTGTGTAACATATTAATTTGGAGTCTACCTTATTTATTGCCAACTAATTCAACTTCATTTAGCATTAATTTATGGCATATACAATTCAAACATAGAAATATATTATCCAGCATTGCAGTTAATGGCAGAAAAAAAGTTGTTTGAAGATATACTTAAAGTTAAGGCTGATCTTGCAGTGTGAAGGATCTCATTTGTATATAAACACAAAGTTATCTCCTACATGAAATATATTTGAGCTGTTCAGCTTCTGTAACAGAACAACAATCAAATGTTTTCTGCTAAGTTAGTTTCTTACTGATTTCTCTTCGCAAGGGACATCATGAACTGCTTGTTATACGGTACTGATTAAGGAATAATGTAGATTACCTGCGAAGTTCCTCCTGGCTTTGGGCTAATGCCTGAGCAACTCTTTCTAGCCTGAGTGATCTTGCTGTTAAAGGACTAGCTGCACCACTGCTGTCACCACCAGTTGTAACAGAATGCAGTTCTTCTTTTGAAAGCTCTGCTGACAGTGGTGCCAACTGAAGCTGCATATAAAAATCACACATTTAAAACCTTACAACAATTTTAACAATTTCGCTTCGCAACTGTCACAAAGAACGTATCATACTAAAATATGTCTACAATATACATATGCCTACAAGCCATTCTGGTTATTCAGATAACTTGTATAGTGATATCTGTCACCAGACATTCTGCAACAGTTGAAATGTTGAATTAAATAAATCTGGCATGTTTTAAATATTAAAAGTAGAAGTAGCTAGCAACAAAGCCCTTACTATACTCCATTTTATGAGTACATAATACTGTATTCGAGAAAATGCTGTTGATGCCTTTTATTAAGTGATTTCAACATTTCCCTTATCCATTTACTGAGATACAGTCTTAAATCCTCACTGATCCATAAGTCATCATCATGTTAACTACGACTTCATAAACTGCAAAAAAAGTAAGAAACAAATTAATTATATACCACCAAATTTGGACAAAAGACAGTGTATGTCACAGACAGAAGAACCAGATACATTGCACTCATAATCACCTTACAAATGAGATAAATATGAGGTCAAAGTGGTATGTGTAGCAGCACCGATATGCCAACATGTTTTGTCCACTATATATCTCTACAGCTAGAACACACCCTCATACACTATTACTTTAAGATAAATGGTAATATTATCCTCCCACTTAGGCCTACATTTTATGACTAAAATCCCTTATGTATTTTAAATATTTATTAGTTCTGTCTTTACACAATACAAAATATCCTTTCCTTGTCTTATATATACATAACAGTGCATGTTTCAGGTTCATTAGTCCATCTTCAGACAAAGCTAATAAACATTTAAACTATAATTCACAACATTACATTCCTGTACAGTCTTATGCCCTTATGCATTTCTTATCTCCTCCATGCAAGCTACATACTCTACCCAAATCAATTAGAAGTTCAGAAACATGAATCTTCCAAATGTTTATTTTAAATATGCTCTATATTGCCTTATAAGATCTTCCAAGAGCAAAAGGACACATTTCTTATGTGATAAATTCACTTCAATCTGTTATTATTTAGTACTGTATATTCACATCCATTAAATCCATTGCCTGTTCACTTATTATAGCATGTAATAAGTTACTTATTCATATTCATGGAATATTTTTGTTCATCCAAATCAAATGGACTGCATACCGTTGGCCTGACCATATTTAATTTAAACTTTTTTCAAACTGTAAACATTTATATAAAACTAATGACTATTTTAAATATAGCAATAGCCAAAAATTCTGGTACTTACTATGTAGAATCTCTCATGAACAGGCAATAAAAATCTAACAGATATATACTCATAAATTTATGATAGGTTTCACTGTATTATAAACATTTATCTTAGAAATTACCACAAAATAATTGGAAAACAGGTATGTTAAAAAAAATAGTCATAAATGTAACACAGTGCTTAAACTGAACTTAAAAAACTATTTACCAGTCTAATCTGTAGTACTACAAAGCTCAAATATTATAATTTATGTTATGTACGTTGCAGTAGTATGGGATGACAATGTTAAGAGAGATTAATAAAACTACAATGTGAGAGAGAAAGCGTAGAACGCAGAGAAACAAGCATGTAAGAAGCCAGAATAGCAGTAGTCAAGATCTGAAAGCTATTGCACTGAGAAAGAAGAGTAGAGGAAGAAGACAAGTAGTACAAAGAAATAGAAAGAACAGGAGACAAAGGGACAAATCCAATTAGGCAAATTTAAATCCTACAATTGTTGTCTTCACTATAAATCACTCTATTAAATAATGACATTTTATATACCCAAAGAAAAGAGGCACATTTTATAAAATAGCTCAGTCAGTATAGTGACTAGCTACAGGCTGGATGACGGGTTAGATCCCTGACAGGGGCAAGGATTTTTCCTCTAGCTTCTGCGTCCAGACCAGCTCTGGGGCCCACCCAGCCTCCTATCCAATGGGTACCAGGGTCCTTTCCCGGGGGTAGAGCGCGGCTGAGGCATGATGCTGACCACTCATCCCCATCTAGTGCCAAGGTCAAGAAAGAGTAGGAGCTATACCTCCACTCCCCCCAAATGACCTACATGGTGTGTAGCAGGACAGCTTTACTTTTTTTTACCCTTTTATAATAATGACTGCACTACACTGCAGTGTTACTTCTGTATTTCTATACTCATGTTATGAACTTGAAAGACAAGTGAATGTTTTATACACAAATACACATGCATGCGCACACATCCTGAGTGTATGCCACAGTTATTAATGTTTTTAGATTTAAAATATTACTGTCATCACCATCATCTTATTCTTTCCTGGTACTTCTCTTAAACTAATGGTGAATTCTACCACTCAGGCTTCAGATTTCAGATTGTAGCACTTTCCTTATTATGAGCCATGCTCCTAATACAGCTCTTTTTAAAGAGAATCTAATGAAAGCTTTCCTTGTATTGTTTCCAGATATATTTTTAACACTTTAGTTATAATTCTTGTAGACTCAATAATTACCAGAATGACAAAGCAGTTCTTATTCCACATTTGCTGAATTTCTGTACTTCAGTTTTTTATTTTATTTATTACTACATACTTTCACAGGATTTAAAAATGTTGGGTTTCATTTGGTATATTACATCTTCCTTCTCCACTCTTGAGTCTTTTGGTTTTGTAGAGCACCCTAGTTCAGTCCAAACTTGAGTATGCATCTGTAATCTGGAACTCAATTATAATTACTTACTCCTCTAAATTAAAGAATTCAAAGTAAATTTGTAGCATTATGTTACAAAAGATTTTTAATGTCATATGTGGCTATAAATAAAAAAGATATTTTAATTACATTAAATTTCCTAACACAGGATTTAAGGAGAAGGCATCTTGATGTCCTTTTTCTTATAAATGATTTCAAAGGCGAAATTAGTCGTACATGTCTTGGATACTGTTGGTCTGTGCATACTCAATAGTCTATCAGAGACTATCCAACTTTTACTATAAGTTGTAATTTCAAGGCCAGTCCCTCACTCAGATGTGTTTGTGCTACCAATGCAGTCAGTAGAAGCACTGATATCTTTAATAAAGATTTATTTTGCTTATTGATATTAGTCAGCTTTTTGAATCCAAATAATTTTTCTCTTTTCTTGTATCTCCTGTTTGTTTTTAATTGTATTTATAAAACAAAAAGCAATTAATGCCAAACCATATTATGTTACCATTTGAAGACAAAAATTACAGTTGTATTTGCCTGAATAAAATTCATACTTTTTTTCCCTTGAAATATTCACCAAAACTGACCACGAATTTATTTCTACACATTTGGTTTTGTTAGATATGTCGATATTATTCAACTGCATTTGGTAAAATAAAATCAGATAACACTTGATTGTTTGCTAAACCAGAAATTTTCCAGTGACATTGAGAGAAATGATTGTTCTCCCTCCCTCCCAACTCAATTCCTAAAGTTCTTTCTTGTTGTACCAAATTATTAAGTGAAGCAAAGTATTTCAAACTGCATACATACTTACTATATAATTCCTCAATGTTTGGGAGGTAAGGTAAACAAAACAATGATAAGGAGAGTCAGTCAGTGGAGTGGGATATTACCAGAACAGAGCCCATACACAGTTCTTCTATTATTTTAAATATATTATAATATATATTATATATATAATATAATATATTATAATAAGGGGTATGTGAAGACATCTTAGGGGGTACGTGAAATTTAAAAAAATATATATATTATTTTACGATAAACACTGAATAATCAGTAATGTAATTTATTTAATTTATTTTTGATGTAGATTATATACTATGTTTAACTTGAATTATACACCAAAAACTTTGAGGGAACAAAGTTGAAAAGATATTATATCTGGGGGTACGCGAACAAAAAAGTTTGAATACCACTGTAATAAGGAATACGTCGCTGAACAGGTCCTTTTGGTGAGGCACATAACTAATAAAGCTATTAACTGCAAATGTTAGTTGTACGTAATACTCTTCTTGGGGTATAACCATCTTTCTATATTTTGAAGTATAAGGGGGAACGGCTTCATCTTGGAATGGCAAAAGCTCCTGCTGATTAAAGCAGGTGTTAATGTTCCATGTACATTGAATTAAATCATTCCAACATGTGTGTGCTGTGGTGTTAACACATTGTTCTACTGTTCTGTTTAGTGTAAGGAGCTGAGTTCACTGAGTACTGGTAAATGTAAGTAGTATAAGTGTATATAACAGTAAAATAAGTTCCACTGGCAGGCAGTACCAATTCACCATCACATGGACCACAGGAGGAAGGGTGGAAGTACTGTTTACCTTGCCTCTCAAACATGTAGAAATCAGGTATAGTTAACCGTACCGAGTACTTATCATGCTGTCCTGTTATGTGGATAATTCAATCAACTGCTTATTTCTGTTGCTGTTCTTGGTATATTACTAACAAAATTACATTGGGAAAACTAATCCAATTTGTATACTAGATTATTTTTGCACAAAAACTTTAGTTGAGGTACAGAATATTAAAAACAATGTTGGGAGAGATGAATGAAAATGATTACTGTGGTAGTAAGTAACTGAACAATAAATATTACATTTTAACATTGGAGAATATCTGCTTTAAATTTAAGGTATTTGGTAACATGTAATAATAAGTATGCCTCCTTTTTTATTTGTACTTCTAATTATTATGCCTTTCACGGGTTTTTTTGTTCATAGCAGAATTAGGGCAGCAGTTAAGAGAGTAGAATTTGTTAGTGACAGGTTGTCTTACGTAATTTTGGAAGGACGTTGGTGCGACATCATTGTCCTTAATGTTCATGCCCCAACTGAAGACAAAAGCGATGATATCAAGGATAGCTTTTATGAAGAATTGGAATCAGTATGTGATACATTTGGCAAGTATCACATGAAAATTCCGCTAGGAGATTTCAATGCAAAAATTGGGAGGGAGGATGTCTTCAAACCCACAATAGGCAGCGAGAGTCTCCATGCACTTAGTAATGATAACGGTCTTAGAGCAGTAACCTTCGCTACGTCAAAAGATTTAATTGTAAAAAGTACAAAATTTCCACACCGTGATGTTCATAAATACACTTGGACTTCCCCAGATGGCAGAACACACAATCAAATAGATCATGTTTTAGTAGATAAGAGAAGGCAGACAAATGTAATTGATGTGAGATCATTCAGAGGAGCAGATTGCGACACTGATCATTATCTGGTGGTAGCAAAAGTGAGGGAGCGGCTTTCAGTAAGTAGACGAACTAAACAAAATTTTGACACAGAAAGATTTGATTTGAAAAAATTAAGTGAGGGAGAGGCAAAGGAACAATATCAAGTTGAAATTTCGAATAGGTTTCAAATTTTAGAGACAAATGAGGATAATGAAAGTGTGGACATCAACAGGGAGTGGGAAAATGTCAGAAACTGCATCAAAATTTCAGCAAAAGAGAAACTAGGATACTACAGGAGAAAGCAAAATAAACCGTGGTTTGATGAAGAATGTTCAAAATTAATAGATCGAAGGAAGCAAACAAAATTTCAATGGTTGCAGAACCCAAACAAAACAAATGCGGATAATCTATGTAACGTGAGACGTGAGGCTAGTAGAACCTTTAGGACTAAGAAAAGGGAATACCTGAAGGGCAAAATTGCTGAACTTGAGACAAATAATAAGGAAAAAAACATCAGAGACCTGTACAGAGGCATTAATAACTTTAAGAAAGGATATCTTCATACCAGATACAGTAGTTGTGGTTCTACTCAGGTCCTCACACACAAACATACATATATCAGAGTTTCAATATTTCTGGTTCTGCCAAATTCTGTCTAAAATCTGTAAGCACAGACTTTAATCAAAGACAAAAATTTGGTGCAGTTTTAGTTAAAGTGGTAATGTGCAACTCTATCGTATTTACACAAGTCAATCTGTAAAGCTGTTTTAATTCAGGATTTTCTCTCTTTACTTGAAAATAATCTTGTTTCTTTCAGAAAACATATTTCAAGGTATAATCCCAGTCTCCAGTGAGTAGATTTTTAACACCTGAAGATGGGGGTACAGCCAACCCTTGAAATGTTGTGGATTTAGTTCAGAAGAAAAAGAACAATGAATGTGACATGTAATTGTTAGAACCTTTTAGAGTTACAAAATTGCAATTTTCATCATTCCTATGTTTTGTCGCATGTCTATATCATGAATATATTTTCATTCTGGCAGACCAATTCCTGAGCTGAAAATGTAGAATTTCTAAAGTAAGAAAGCTACAAACAAAATTTGTAACTACAGGAAAAGTGACTATTAACACCACCTGGGAATAGAGTATATTTGTATGCAACTCAAAGCTTTGGACTGTCTGTTACAAACCAGTTCAACATTCCTTTCAAAGGCCACTAAATACAGCTAAACTAAAAGCCAAATTTAAGTTGTGCTTCTCATGAGAAATCACACAGCATGCCAATATCCAGGATGCAAAGGGTCAAAACAAAAATGTGGAAAGACAACCCAAGATAAAACAGTGATACAGAACAAGCTGCAGGCAAGATCAAAGGAAGTCACTTGTTCACTCCTTCAAGCAGGGAACAGCAGGCAGGAAACATTCTGTCTAGATATACAGGGAAAAATGCAATTCTCCACTACACAAAGTGCTTTCATTGCCACTGCTTAAGACGTCATAAACATTTCTTCAGGAGTCTGAGGATTATATCAACTGAAATAGCAAATGATTATTCACAGAGAAAGAAACAAAGCATTAATAATTTAATACAAATAAACACTTTCTGAACTACTTCCCTGCTTATGTGTTTGTTTTCTTAAATTCTTAAAGCTACAAGTCCTCATATATTGGAGGAGGAGGTGACCACACACAAGCGAACACTTTAGCATTTATGCTACAGCATAAATTGTCAGCTAAGCATTTTGTGTTGTGGACTTGTGACAAGCTCCATCAGAAACTGCATACTTCATTGCAGTTTTTACACAAACCATGAGAACACATAAAGAGTGAAAGAACACTAATCAGCATAAAAGCATATTAAAATCCACTTGCACAGTTCATTACCTCTGAATTTTCTTCTCATGGTACCTGAAGTGAGGGTAAATGACTATATTTTTGTTCCTTGAAACCTAGATGTCATCTTTCTGTCCTTTCATGCTGATCAGGGAATGAGTCATTCCATGTCAACACACAAAAGGATCAAAATGATCTTTACCATCTCTGATTCTAATGAAATTTTGTAAGCTTGTTGGGTCTTCTTAGGAAATAACATACACAAAATTTTACTTTCCTGTAACCATTAATTGCAGAGATACATTATGAATTTTTAAGTTTTCTTAAACTTTACCCCAAACACTGACAACTCTGGTTCCATTTAAGAGAGACAAAAACCTCATTTTTGCACCTATTAAAAATTCTTAAGTTTGGCTTTTATTTGGCATGTCACCTATATCGTCGGCCACATAAACATTTGACCTTGAACTTATATTAATTTAAGAAAAATGTGATGCCACATTCATGCAAGTTTTCAGCCATAACACTTAGTGATTATTTCATTACATCTTTGAAAACTGTCATGTTGGAACATAAGATCAATGAGAAGACTCTGTAGGCTTACAAAATTTAATTGGAATTCAAGGTGGTCATGTCAAATGATGTGTTGACTCGACATGGAATGGCCCAACTGTACCATGTGCTATTTTATCACAACTTACCTTACAATTTTTATTTCTTCAATCAATACTCAAAATGTACTAATATACTGACTAACAACATCAAATAAGACTACAGTTGCCCTAGGGGGAAGAAAAAAACCGACTTCAAGTATGTCAATCTTGTAACTGTTTCCTTGCTTTTGCTGTGTATAAGGCAAATTATAGCACATAATGTCTAAATCATCATAAACTTCTGCTAGCTATTGGCAACAAATATGATACTGGCAATATACTTTGTCATATTGCCTTTTCACTAAACTGTCAATATTATTTTTTCTTCGGTATTCACATGCACATAAAATATTCTATTTTGGTTTTTGTTTACATTATAAGTATAATGCTGTGATACGGTTGGTGCTGTTTGATGATGTATATCTAGCAATTGTGAAAAACCAAAACAGAATACTGAATTAAACAAGTAAAAGTGATCATGTCAATAAACATTACTGTAAAAGACTGACACATTTTCTTAAACTCTTCACCCAACTGAAAATCAAGTCAAGTCATTTATCTTCTTTTTTCTCTTTTAAAAAACTTATTTGAAGTTGATATGAGAGTTTCTAATTACGCCATTAATTCTGTAAGTGAGAACTGATCATCCCTCGACACCTTTCTACCCTAACTCTACCTCTTACCACTTACTTACGTTCTACTTAAAATATGTGCAAGTGAAGAAGAAATGTGTACAAATACCTGATGATTTTGGTTTGCAATATGCTACTTATCTCCAAAAAGACTATGGAAAGAGGTGCCAGAGAAGGGAATGGGGCCAATAAACTGAAGTAGGGGATAACGCCACGGCTGGCCACTGGTCAGCGGTGCCCTGGTACCCTATACGAACCTGGCTAGCAGGCAGTGACTCAGAGAGTTGGCCTGGGCTCAAGGTGGAGGCATACTGATGCAGGTGGGCCGGAGACATAGAGGCAGGGGCCTAGAAAAACATACCTGCGGTCACCATAACACCCAGAGCCGGAGTTAAAGCTGCTTTCACAAATAAACACCCCTCAGCATAACAATGGACTTGTGAATAATTAGCAGCAAAGCTAAATTAAATGCATTAAACAACAAAATTCTTGTTGAAGATGGCTGTTTTATGGGATGTTGTGCGGTATAGTCTAGTAGATATTGACCAACATCTTGAAGATACTTGCTGCCTCCATCATCAGGGTGACCTTGATGATGGTGGCACCAACTCCTCTGAAATGTCAGTCAATATTGACAAGATAAAATATCAGAATATCCCAGAAGACACCCATCTTCATACCTGTTGCCATGAGAACCTGAAATCTCACCATATGCTGTTGTTCAATGTATTTCTTTATCTTAGACAGAGGTTCCCAACCTTCCCAGTGTAATCCGTGACTATAAGAAATTATGAGAAAGTTGGACATGTCAACAAATTATTTATAACCAAATTTTGAAATTATAATGCGACCAAATTATTTAAAAAAATAAATTGATGTTGTAGCATAAATGTTTTAATATAAGAAAATTGTAAGGTAGGGAAATGCATTTATATCGTAAGCATATTTAATATCACTTCTCATTGCATGGAAATTCTCTACAGCCATGGGGAAAACTAATTATTATGAACAAATATTTTGTTACTAAAATAACTTACAAATATATAAAATTTATAAATGCATATACTATGAATATCTCAGCTGTTTATGCACCTGTTATGCTATTAACTAGTATCACAGCACAAAGATTAATCTTGATTATTGGGTTTTTGGACCTCTTTTGACCAAGATTAATGGTTGGGTATCCCTGTCATAGATGTACATTTATTTATGGCGTACCCCATGCTGAGAGAAGTCTCAATTTCATAAGCACTCTCTTACTTAATAATGGTAAATCTAGTCACTTTCTGACAGCATAAAATGGTACTATATACTGATTGCCTCCTCCAAATTAATTAATTACACTTTGCATAAAACCTGCTGGTAGCCAGGCAAGCCATTATAACTGCTATTGGCCCCAGTAAGCCTTGCACAGGGCTCCACCTGACCTAATTTTGCCCCTAACAGCACTAGGTACCAATAAATAGATTCAAAAGAGTATGGAGCACATAACTAAGAACCATTTTTAACACTGAAAGGAAACTCCAAAGAAATATGATATTAACTAGAGGAGAAGAGGGTAAAACAGTAAAAAGATTAAAAATGTAATTAATCGAAACAGTTATTAAATTTAACCACAAATATGCTACAAAATGCACATATAACATAACAATTCTGATGTATCTGCCAGAATTTGGCTTTTGCAAGGGGGAGAATGCCTGATGCCTGGCTACAGATCCCCTGAGCAGGCACTCCCCAGATAGCTTGATAACTTTAGAAACTCTGGTAATGAAGATAACCACCCAGTCTCTTCCATATGGGCAGAAAAAAAGGATGTAGGCTTTGGTAAGTGACCATTATTGCTGTATGATTTTATCCAAAACTGATATATGTCAGCAGATTTTAGTAAAACTCGCCAATACCAAATTTCATAAAAATCCATTCAATGTTTCATGAGTTGTTACATGCAGATAGACAGATTACTAGACAGACATGATAAAGCTAATAGGCAAACTTTTGCAATTTTAAGTCACACACACATTTAAAGTTTACTGAAGTTGTATATAGTGGTCTAGCATTGCGTTAATGTGGTATGAACCATGCAGCACAGGTGTATTCACAGTAACGTATGTTCTGCAATATCACTCCAGACACATACAAATTATATGAGAAGAAAGGTCTATTAGGGTAAAAATAATTAAAGAAGCTGAGCATACATAATAACTGAAGAATACAATAATAATATAAAAATATTTTGTTATACACAGAAAATAAAATGTATGGAAACACTGTTTTATATCTATATACTTCAAATGAATGAATAAACAAGTATATCATGGATGTCTTCTGGGTCATAGCGCTGTGTAGTCTGGTAGAAGTTTACCAACACTTCAGAGGTCCTTGTTGCCTCCAAAATCACAGTGATGAAGTATTAGTAAATTTCTACCAGACCCAGAAGACAGCCACTCTCACTGCCATGAGAACTTCAGATCCTATTGAAAATCATATTCATTTACTGTCTTCTTAAGTATGTTAAGTGATAAGCTGTAATTAATACAATTCAATTCTAAAGGGTTCTGACGCTAGTGGATTATATTTAAAATGATTCACTATCTGGTCCAGTGATGGAGACTAGCTCTATCTGACAGACCCAACTGAGTAGGTGCCTCTCACCTGAAGACGGAAACAGAGCAAGTTTCTGAAACGTTGTGGTTTCTTTCTTTTAAACAGGGACAATGGAAAAAGTCCAGATATTGATAATTTTAAGTGTAATTAATATAACCATTCTAGTATGTGAACAGCATTTATATCAAGAAGATATCAGGTTTCCATACTGGTGAGTATAAAGATGGCTGTTTTCATAGTTGTTGTGGTGTGTAGTCTGGTAGAAGTTTAATGATGTTTCAGAGGCAACAAACACTGCTAAGATGTTGGAAAACTTCTGCAAGATTACACACGCAACTGCCCAGAAGACAAACATATTCAACACTTACATCAATATAGAAACAGTAACCAACCCTTATCTCCTCATCTTCATGTCAAGGCAGCTTCATCAACATGAATATATTATCCAGATCCTTTTTTCTAATTTACTCCGTACCATGAACTATGTGATTTCCTGACAAATTCTGATGCCAATTATGACAGTCTGTTTATTCTGACTTTGTACTTATATTTGACATCTTCTGAGTTCTGACACTTCAGTCTTATAAGTGGTTACCAATGTTTCAGTGAAACATACAGACTCCCTCTTCATGGATGAACTGACAATTTTAACATTTTTGAAAGAATGAACTAATGCAGTTTAAAGCAAACAATTATTTGACACATTCAAATCCAAAGTACAAGTGTTTACTCAAAATGGAATTAAATTTGAAAATTTAACAGTGTTACTGCAGTTTACAAACAAAGAATAATCCAAAGCCACATGACTTAACAGTTACTTCATGTCATGTGCACATGGAGATGTGCATGCATACACAAGAATGAAAATGCTCATACACATTAATGCAACTGCTAGGTCTAAAGAATTAACTTTGGATCTACCCCTTTCAACTTTCAAATTTAAAACCAGTTCATTAAAAATGTGTATGCATGTATAGGTAAAATTTGTATATACAAGTATATATCCCACAAGAAAGAAAGTATACAATAAATATGTAGATCCAATGGCTGGTCATTTAATGGAAAACATGTTATTTATATATGCTACATGTGTTATTATTTTACATACATTTATAGACGTATTTTGTAAAAGTTGTCTATTTCAGTAACCATGATCTGCCACTGTTTCCCACAGAATTTATTTATAAAAAATTTATTCCAAACACAGAGATAAATATACAGACATAAGGTAAAGCTTGAAGTGGATATGTTTAAGCAATAAGCTATGAAGGCCTATGAAGACATCACAGTAAATAAATAAAAAAATTAAGACACCAGAATGTGTTAAACAAGAAATTAAAATAATGGGATAATAAAAAACACAACACTAACTTTAAAAGATGGCTGTCTCCTGGGGTGTAGTGCCATTTAGTCAAGCAGTTTACTTTTAGAAGTATACTTGCCGCCTATGAAATGCCAGTACATTTCTACCAGATTACATGACACTACAACCCAGAAGACAGCCATCCTAATACTCACCACTGTGAAAAACTCAAATCCTACTTAACACAAACACTGTTTGAAAACTTATTCTACACAGCTCTTAAAATATAAAATAAAACAGAGAGAGAGGAGGTGAATAGTGTAACAAATGTGTTATTACCTAAAGTGAAAATTTTAGAATTTTACCTCGTATGGCCTGAGCAGCATTTGGCCTAAGCCTGAATTAATCTTCAAATATGTTACCCACACCCCATCTAACACCAACTTCCTTTTATTGTGAACTATTTACAATCTGCTCCGTTTCTCTTAATGCATGTATGCCAGTAATCCGTGACTGAATTATTTAATACCACTTCAAGAACATCTCAGGTTATTCTGGTGTTTGAGGAACACTGCAAAGATACTGGATACCAAGTTTATAAGATGTCTCAAACTATTCCTGGGAGGGAAAAAGCTATGAAAATTCCTTAGAAAATCAAGTGAGTGGGATTTGTTTCCAGGACCCTAATGTGTCATGAGCATAAGGTGAGCACAACTACGAACAGTTTTTATCTGTGAAGAAAGAGTATTCCAAAAAAGCTCAAAATGTTCTATTTAACATCTGACTGCTATCATTTTAAGCTGGCCTAGACCCAAAAATTATCAGTGTTACCAGATCCAGGCACAGCCTAGGCCCATGCAGACCCCTACGAGAAAATAACATAAATAATAAACAGTGCCAAGAAATATTATACTTCAAATAAGAAGTTTTATATTTTAAATAATAAACTAAATGCAACCTATTTCTTTCCAGAAAGCGAAAATTTTTCTGTTCTGTCAATAAAGCTGTGATGCATGGTTGAACTCTAGATTCTTATGTTAGTAAATATACTTATGTAATGCTTGCTCTATGATATATTTTAAATATAGTAAGGCACACTGGTGAATTTTTAATAAGAACACATTCAATCAACCAATTCACACCAGCATTACCAACACTGAGAAGAGTGAAAGTGCAGTAAGTGCATATTGGAAGGTGAAACAATATATCAACTTGGGTAAGATCAAAGCAGGAGCTGAAAGGGAAAGAACTAGCAGAAAGCTACTTACAGTGTGATATTTATGAAGGTAATCTCTCTGGGGAGAAAGATGTGACTTTGGAGTGGAGCGGCCACTGAGGGGTGGTGATGACCGTTCAAAGCTTCTACCCCGTACCAGCAGGTTCATGTGCTCCAAACTGCCAACTCGAGACTCCAGCTCCTCAGCCCTTGCTTCTGTGCTTTGCTTTTCCTCCTGAATTAACCTGACAAATGTGTAAAATGAAGTAAGATCCTGCACATTTAGTTGAAAAAGGACCCACATACATGGCTGAGATAAAGATGTGCATGTAAATGTACACAAATCACAGTGTCAATCAAAGAATTTTAATGAATCTAATCTTGCCTTGCCTACAAGTACAATTATAAAAGTAGGTGAAGAAATCAGACATCAAACCCACAACATACATTCACTTTTGGTGTTGCATGTCTTGCGTGGCTTTTGTAAAAACTAAGTTTTCATTTATATATGGCTTAGATGGAATGTTGCTCCAGTGTTAAAAAATGTCAATGAATAAAATAAACCACAACAAAAAATCTTGTTCCATCAACATTAAAATACAGTGTTTTTGTTGACACTACCATTTTTACTATACACATTCTTACAAGAAATATTCTGACATATCTTAAATCAGTCCAGCTACCCATTTGAAGGATTAAAATTCCCTTCTTTCAGCCTCAAAGCTACTTCAGTATACAATTCTATTAATTGGAACAGTTTCTGTTATCATTTGCTGGAACCACTAAATTAACAAATTTCAAGTTCTTTATACTTTCCTGTTTTTCACATATGCCCCACACCCATTTTATTCTTTATGTATAGAGGCTTTTTGTAACAAAATGTTATTTAATAATGGCAGAAGCAGCTCAAGACACTTTACCATATCAATTTGCAACACAATTGGATTCCTTTCCCTGTTCTGAATGACTTCAGTTTTCTCACATATAGTGAGCATCTTTTTCTTCAATGCTACAGTCATTTATTATTATAAAGCCACTGTTACAAAAATAAACTTTATAAGAATGCAACACCACAAGGAGAAGTTTAGCAAGTAAGTACTTTGAAACAACACAAAACACGCCCAAAGACTGAGCAAAGTTAAGGGTTATAATGTGGCAAATGGCATACAATTGTGGCAATCTGCGAGCCTCGCCTTCACTACATGCCATTGCATTGTCAAATGTGGTAAATAACATCACATCTGAAAATATAAGTCCAGGCACATTATCATTTACTTCCACAAGCAAAAAAGCGCTTTAATTAATTTATGTTTTCAAGCCTCATGGTAAGCAATTATCTCTCCTTGCTCCTTTCCCCTCACCAAACTCACAGATTAGTACCAGCTACTTGCATCATGTGATTATAGTATTTTTCAGTGGAACTGGCGGCTGAGTCGAGTTCTGCTCTTTGTGAGTGACCAATCAGTGCAATGAAGGTCTGTTGGTAAGCAGGGAGACCTCAGTCTGTTCAGAAAACCGTGTTGTGGAATCCAATGTTCCGTGATGCTACATCTGGCACCACTCCATGTTGTTTCCTCGCTATCTTGCCCCTCCACCTACCTCCACTACTTCCTACCAAGGCACAGTACACGTAATTGGTGCACGTTTCAGCCACCAATTCGGCTGAAAACGGTTATAATGACCCTGAATACAAAGCTTGCTACACACAAGCTGGAATGAGAAAAAGCTCTCCCTTCAACTTCAAACCGAAGTCTGAAAATTGTACAAGAATAGAAGTTTCAAATGTAAAATGTGGGTAAATCCTTAAGAGATAACACAACAAACATATAACAACCTGAAAGTCTCCTGATGGTTCTAATGGATACAAAGTAAACAAGAAGCAGTACCATTTTTTGACTATCTGAGTATGCAATGTCTTTAAACAATCAGGACTCTTAAAACAAGACAGTCTAAAACAAAACATTCTGTTCACCTGATTTCATTGTTGATGGCATCCAGCTGTTCCTGCAGCATCATGGCCAAGGTCTGAGCATCAGTGTGACCAGACGGTGAGAGAATTTCTGCCACGCTAAAAATACTGTCATTGTCCTCAACTTCAGCATCACTTGATACATCAAATGCTTGCTGAACATTTGCCAAAACATGTGCCTGTTGTATCTTCTCCCACTCCTGTTCCCCCAGCGTATGTATCTGCAACACATGGTAGTGCTCTGAACACAACCAGCTTGAAGGTAATTTTAGTTACTTAGCTACTTAGATTCTTTAAAAGAAATACTCAAATCACATGCCATTACAATTTGTTACCTGGGAAACTAGCTCCTAACAGAACATTTTACAAACATCTCACATTTTCTATTTATTTATTTTTATTATATTTAACAATGTTGTCGGAAGCTTAGACTATACAGCAACAGATGATAGGATGATCCAGTGGTTCTCAAGTTGAATCACACTGACAGACAGATATTACCAGCCACATATGTGTTCATTTCACACACATCTCCCAAAGAACACAGAAAAACAACTAGCAGCAAATGATGAAAAATTCACATTTAACGTTTAATTCATTACACACACACACACACACATACTTATAAGCCAAAGTAACAGTTACATAGTAAAGTTATAACTGCCGACAACTGCTCATTTTGTAATCCCTTCACAATATGGGTAGGCTCAAAGCATTATGGGTCCCAAACCACAATGTGGGAGGGTGGATTCTTTACAGTGTAACTTATGACTAAGGTGAAGAATCTGATAGGACCACAGAAAAATCTGTAGCCAGATCTGACCTGGTGCTGAAGCTATGACTGAATAAGAGTCCTGTCTTATCCTGATACCAACAAGTCTCCTTATTGTTGGTAGATCCACGACATTCCTCCTGCATTTGTTCCTGTCAATTAATATTTCTTCACAGGTTGTCAACTTTGTCTAGTAGACCAGATTCATCCTGTAGACCATACTTTGCCTACCCATGCAATAGTGTTTGGTAACAAAACTAGTTGAAAGATGTCTTTGCACATTAACCAACATTATACACTCAAAGTTTATATGTATACAGCAGAGGTAAAATTGCTGTCATGGCAAAGAACATGTGATGAAGGACTATAGAAATAGTAAAAATAAAGATCAATACCTAGCATTATGTACAATACTGGAAAACTTATTCTCTAACAAGCTATATAGCTAGTGACTCCATAATGAGGCATTTATGGTAACTGTACAAGATTGCTGTCTTCTGGGTTGTTGCGCCATGTAATCCAGTAGATGTCCGCAACCCAGAAGACGGCAATCTTCAGACTCACTGAATCTTACATACGTAACACTGTACCTTAGTGGGATCATCCTCCAAGGCTGACACCCTGCCTTTTTGTGGCCTACGTGGCAAAGAGTGAGTGTCAAAACTCGTGTGGCTTGAACTCCGCACAAAACTGCTAGGATCAGCCACGGCACTTGGAGATAGGCTCCTGGAAAATTAAGATAGCTTTCAGCCTTATAAGTGCATAGCATCAAGACATTCTGACATGAGATGGAACATCTATGTTAACCAGAAGATATTAAAGCAGCTGCAGTTCAAGGACTACAGTATGCATCAATAAATTGAAAATGTTCTACTCATTAACATTCAAATAACTTTCCACTTAAAATATAGCCGTATTGATCAAACTTTCTGTTCTGTTATATTTAATACAGGACACATGCAAAGATGTGTTGAGAAAAATTACTAACAACAATAACAAAGTAACTAATAATAATAGCAGCAACACTGGTAGTCATATGATGATGATGATAATAACAAAAATAATAATAATGACCATAAGAACAGTAGTAATGACAACAGTAATTGTTGTAATATTTTTCTAAATTTAAACTCAGGCAACTGCCCTCTTTTTAAATCCTATACATCTGTGCCATCTATTGCAATGACCAACCTTGTTAATGCATCAGTCTGTTGAATATTAAAGGCAATTTCTTGCTGCAACATTTGTCTTTTAACATTGTCAATTTCTAGTCTTGCTTTGCCTAACTCCTTGACAATGTCACCCTGAAAAGATACAAAACATGTAAAATTAGTAATTTCTTAAACGAATTTATATATACAACTGCCATATTATATTATAAAGAAAAATTTAAATACTTTTTTACCTTTTCCCCTTGTAAATCCTCTGCAACTTTCCGTGTTTTCTCAAGTTCTTGTGTGAGCACATTCTTTTCTTCTAATGCATGCATTCGTTCTTTCAGATGGACCTGTAACCTCTCATTGGATTCTAAAAAGAGGAAATACACCAACTTATTTCAGGTATAGGAAGAAAAGGCTAACTGGCACTGTTTTCCAAGACATTTTGTGGGTCAAAGGCATCCACTAAGAACTTATCATCTTTAACTTCCCACTTGGTGACAAACTAACAACCCCATATTTTCACTCACATCAACATGTATGCAGATGGCATGGCACTTGATAAGTCCCACAAACCACTGCTGCTCATCACAAAATATATCAGCATGACTGCTCAGATAGTTATCTTGTTCAATTTCTATTCTGATAAAACAGCAAATTCAAAGTGAGACTGTTGATCAGCTTCGGTAATATCTTGTACCATCTGCAGACTATAACAGACCTA